TGTTCACAAAATCGCTTAAAGGACCTCAGATTGATTACATTTGTAACAAGCTTGGTGCATATGATATATATGCTCTAGCTTGAGGGGGAGTGTTATAGATATTGTGAATATATTACAGATATTATGGATACATATATTATGGTTATTATCTTTACTATCAATTAGGAATATGATTAGATTAGTTTCCATAATATTAGAGATTAGTATCTCTATCATTTATTGTATTAATAAAATTGGTATGTGTACAACAATACACACAATTCCTGAATCACAATATTTTCCATATTTAAATCTTAAATTAATGAGGGAATGTTAGAAATTAATATTATAATTTAATATTTGAATATATATATATATATATATATATAATTTTATTTTGTTTAAATTTTTATTGTGTCCATGTTCATTGCATTTGACCTAGAATATTTTTTTCTCTTTTGGTTTTAAAATGCTATCCATTAGTGATTTAACGGATATTGCGGCAATAACTTATGATGTTTTGTTTTTAATGTTATTAAATTTTAGTTGTTGCACGTTAGCAACATTTTGCTTTGCGCAATTGCATTCTTTTTATTTGTGTTCCGTTTAGAATAACGTGGAGTGTATCTTTATAAATATTTGTGTCGGAAGAAAAATACGAAGATTCATTATGTTCACTCATTTTTCTACTTAAAAATTATTTTTACTACCAAATATATTTAGAGTGGTATTTTTTGATTTGGGAGTTTTTTTTCTGCATTCCAACAATTTAACGGGTTAACATATCTTGAAAGAAGAGTGTACTATAAATTTTAATTACTAGTACAGTAATGACATTTTTTCTCTAAAAATAATTTTCTGCGTGCTTCAACTCAGGCTACTCTATTTTTTATTTCTTAATTTAATTTACTTTTTATATTTAATTAGTTATTACTGATTGTTCTATTTTTAATTTAAAAGTATTTATTATATTATTGATATTAACTTTTTAATAAATTTAATTATTTATTTGTGCTCTATTAATATATTTTCCAACATCAAGTTGTTTATAGCTTCAAAGCTCTTTGACACAGGCGTTTGGTGGGAGCCAATTATGTCTTCTGATTGATCCGGATAAAACTACTATGATTTACAAAACTTTTTTCTCCAAATATTTAACACATTTTTAGGACTTGAATTAGACTCAAAATCATTGAATAAACTAAGACAATATATGTTTATGGTTCATGTGTACAATGTTACTTTAAATTTAAGTAAAAAATAATAATATGTTGATGCTTAAAAAAATTAGACTTAATCGTACTTTTTTCTACTCATGTTTCATTATTTTTATAATTTTTGTCATTTAATTTTTTAAATTGGATATTTTATCACACTCAATTTTAAAATTTTGTATATTTTATCACCTATTAATTGACTTAGTTGATCACTAATGTAACACATCAATTGCTAATGTGTGATATTAACTATTGACGTGACACAATATATCATGTTATCATTTTATGATACATAGAAAATCTAGGAGCTAACGTAACATGTTAATGGTTAACATGTCACAAAAATAACAAATATATTATGTTAGATATATCAATTAATGACTTCATGCGATTAATCAATGGAATGACAACATATGCAAACTTTTAAAAATAAAGAAACAAAATACACAATTTTAAAAATTAAATACCAAAATTTGTAAAATTATATAGGTATAAAAGATATAATTAAGTCAATTTAGTTCCACTATTTTTAAAAGATTCTATTTGGTCCTTTAATCTTCAAAAAATGTTCAATGTTGTTTATCTATCCACATTGACACTAATTGAATATTTTTTAAAAATTAGAAGAACAAATTAAAAATTTTAATAATAATAAAAGTAAATTGAATATCTTAAAAGATAGTATGATCAGATTGAATAAAAATTTATCTAACATTATTTATTTAAATAAATTTAAATTTTTTTACTTATCTTAACAAAATCACGAGTAACAATAAATTAAATACTTGGAATCGAAAGAAATGATCACAAAATGAATGCGTTATCTAATAAAATAAGTTAAGAGAAAATTTAAATTTACTTGGACACACAAATGTTAAATAATTGTTTTTTGTTCAGTTTAATTTCTCTACTTATGGAACGTTTAATTTTGTATAAATATTTTTAAATAATTCAATTTAAACGATATTTAATATTATCCTTTTATCTAATTTTTTTTATGTCATTAATATCAGTTTGTATCAAAAGATAATATTGGACAAGGGAATCAAATTAAACTATTTTAAATAATAGAATCAAATTTAATTTTAGAAATAAATAAATAATTTAGTCTATTAAAAATAGTGAAAGTGTCCCGTGTGTCTTAACCAATGTCATGGGTGTCTCCTTTGCACGGCTACAGTTTTTTTTCTTTGCTGCGTTTGTTTTCTTTACTCTTGAAAGTTGAAAATAGAAAACCTAAACAATTTCCTGCCAAATCCTGCGTAGACCATTGGTAAACGTTACTATATTCTAATTTTTATTTTAAATTTGGCTTTCTTTTTCTTTTTTTCAAGTACTTTTTCAACTTACACTACTTTTATGTAAACTCGTAGAAAAAGTTCACCCATTTGCTTCCATAACTAAAAACTAAAAAAAGTATACGTGATTTGTCCATATTCATTATGTCTGAAAAAATCTTGTTTTTCTTTTTGACTGTAAAAAGAAAAACGTGTTTTTTCAACACAAAAATATAAAGAAGTGATTAATGGAAAAGCTATGCCGACAAAAGAAACAAAAATTTACCATAAACAAAGTCTCCCCTTTCACACTGTACGTTTTTATTATTAAATTGTAAGTTTTTTTTATTGATTTTATCGATGTTGTGATTAGTCTTTTATTATTTGTAAAACTTTAAGATTTATTTTTTTTTTAATAAATTTTAGTTATTCTGATTTGAGATGAAATTAACCTGTTAAGAAAAAATATAGGTTAAATATCTCTTTTGGTTACAATATTTTTTTATTTTAATTTAGTCCCACTTTAATTTTAGGTCTCAATTTGGTCTCCAATAATTTAAATCATTGCAATTTGGGACTTCCGTCTAAATGATTTAAACGGAGTTAATTGGTGGCCACGTGAATGCCAGGTGGATGTCACGTAGGTGGATCCCAAAATACTTGAATACACCTGGAACTAGAACGACCCGTTCTGAAACCAGAACGACCCGTTCTGGTTACACTATTGGTGTGTAAATTTTACACCTGGAACGGGCCGTTCTATATGCAAAATTAAGACACTAACAGTGTAACCAGAACAGGTCGTTCTGGTCCAGAATTTTGTGCACAAAAAAACTAAAATACAAAGCATTTCAAACACTAGATTTGGTAATATTGTTAATGGGGATTAATAACTTCAATTGTTAAACATTTGGGCTATACAGTATATCATTAAGGATGATGCAGTGTATCACTAAGGACAATAGTAACAAGTTTTATTTCATTGTTAGTCAAACTGGAGTGAACCACTTACTACCAAATTGACACTATACAGTCAAGGATGAAACGAAACAATGTTTTTTCTTGAAGTCATCATTGACGATGTACCCCAATAATAACAACCTGTTCTTGAGAAGGTACAACCTGAATTTTTGTGGTTTAGGGTTTTCCTTTAGCGTTACCCAGATAATTTCCTTTCTTAATAATTTCTTTGAACTTTTTTAGTATATGTTATGTTCTGAATTTTTGATTTCAGTTTCTGAACCATGTTTCTGTCTTTGAATTTATGATATATTATGAATTTTTATTTTCAATTTTCGAATTACATTGCTGTATTTTAGTCAAGATTTTGAATTGGATAAGTTCAAATCAAAGAAATATTTTGGAAGGTCTTATCATATTTGACTTTTTTTTTGTTTTATTCATAAATGAATATTAATTTATTGTATTTTTTATTTATTATATATTTATTAATATAGATATAATAAAAAAAATACAATAAAAAGCATGGCGTTCTGGAACGGGCCGTTCTAGCATGGCGTTCTGGAACGGGCCGTTCTGAATTCAGAACAGTCCGTTCTAAAAGCAGAACGGCCCGTTCTAAAATCAGAACGACCCGTTCTGCTGCACTCATGTTGTGTTAAATTTTCATTTGGAACGACCCGTTTTAGTTGCAAAATTAATACATATCATGTGCATGCAGAATGGGTCGTTCTAGTTTCAGAACGGGCCGTTCTAGTTTCAGGTTTTTTCAAGAATTTTGGCGTCCACGTACGCATCCACGTAGATGTCACGTGGCCAACAGTTAACTCCGTCTAAATCATTTGGATGGAAGTCCCAAATTGCACTAATTTAAGTTATTGGGGACCAAATTGAGACCTAAAATTAAAGTGAGGCTAAATTGAAACAAAAAAATATTATAAAGGAGCAAAAGAGGTATTTAACCAAAAATATATAAAATAAATTTTAAAAGTTCATTCTTTAAAGAATTTGGAGGGAAAAAATAAAATTTCCTTCTTTTTCTTCTTTTGAGTCCTCAGAGAACACTAACCTTCTCTAAATAAGGATGAGTAGTTAAGTAAGTTATAACTTGAATTATTGATAAATTAATTGGTTGATGTTGTATGGTGTTTGATCTTATTAAACTGTAGCTGTGGTGATGATTATGAGGTAGAAGTCTTTATTTCACATGTTGAGAACAGGATCATCATGGAAACACTAGCAATGAATAGTAGCATCTTTGTATATGAACACAAGAACTGAGAGTTGCAGAATTCGAAAACTTTTCAAAGATATTATTGTTTAGGAAACTTTATTCTTGATTACTTCCCTCTCATACGAGCTAAGAAACTCTATACTTGATTTCAGAAGCATGGCTTTCCCAAATGGATTCAAAATTTCTCCTCTAGCTCCACCACTATCTACCGGATGAAATGTCAACAAAATGTTATTTTCTTATTGATACATTATAGTTAAATAAACTACATTCCCAATATTAAGATATATTCTTTATGTTTCCTCTCATTCATAATTTCAGTTCTCATGAGTATTGAAATCAAAAACCAAAATGCATTAGCTTATTATAGTTATTAACGAAAACTATACATTATAAATTTACGAGGGACCGGAATAATCGTGTGAATTTGACAATGTTGTATTAGTGTTTCTGTCAGTACTTGAAGTTAATAAGGGCCATGAGCTTTCAGAATCAATTATCTTCTGTTTTCCTCGAAATTGCTTACATAAAGTGTCATTCTTCTGATTCTGCATTTCATTATCTGATCCTTCAGGCAATCTTTCATCATTCTTGTGTATGTGACCATGGAATTCCTTGTAAAAGTTTTCATTCTCCTGCTTATGAATTTCTTTAATTGATCTTTCATCATACCTGCAGTTATCATGACTTATAAATTAAATAAAAAACAAAAATACATACTATGTTGCTGCTAATGGTTGTAAAAGAGTATTATTGATTATCATGCAACAGTTTGTATTCATGATTGTTAAGCCAAAGAGTTAAGTCAAAATTAAAGCTAATAATGCAACAATAATTTAGGAGTTTCCCATGCATCTCATCATTTAATGTATTATCTAGAATATTACATTATAATAGACTTAAATATATTTTTAATTTTGATTTTGATTTTTTTAAAAAATAATTCTTTATCTTTCACTCTTCTAAAATTTATAAACCTTATTTTTTGTCATTGTAAAATTAATAAATTTTAATTCTGTTCCCATAATATAACATCTAAATTCAATGAAATGCATATGTGAAAATCACTTGCATCTGAACCAAAACTAACTAAAATCAACAAGTCCAACATACTTAATTATAATCTCAAAATTTCAACTTCTCTTCGTAAGAGTTATTTTCACAAATGTAAGAAAATAACACACTATATGTCCGTACTTCCTCAAAAACATGTCTCACAATAAGAAAAACAGTAGTATATATATAGATTGGTGAGAAAGAGAATGCATGGATAGAGAGATGGAAGATGATTATAATATATGATCTGTTGTAGCAATCTCTCCCATGTATCCTTTAACTTACATCATTTTCTGAAAGTCGTCTTTGGGGTAGATATAAATTTTACGGGCCATTACAACAAATTCCCTGATTTACATATAGAATTAACAAATTAAGTTAATGATAAGAGGAAAATGAAAGATGTATAATTAGATGTCCTTACTCCCATGGATCATCACCAACAAGCATTATATCTTCTTCATAATCAGTGTAGGCAAGAAGCCAATTCTTTTGTGAAGAAATCAATTGACCTCCAAATTCAAATAACTGATCCAATTTATGAATCAATTCATCGTAACCACGTAATTGTGTAAGGTTCACTGACCTAGCAATTGGCATCCCCTTCTTGAAAACCTAAAATAAAAGGCATTGGATTAAATTAACTTGTTGCTGTAATATAGTTAAAATATGATATTAAAGGGACTTACTTTAATGCCACTTCTAGCATAACCAGTTTGAGATTTGGGCTGAGAAGTTGGAAACAAGTTTGGATGGTGATGAATGGGAAGAGTAAGAGCAGGTGTTGATTGCTCAGACTTTAATGCAGCGTTTGGTTGTGATACTGAAGGTCCTGATGCAATAGGGCTACTGTAAGTAGACATGGATGTGTGCTGCGAAAGAATGCAAGAGTCAAGTCGTTTACAAATACAAAGCTCTTTCACACAGGTGTTTGGTGGGACTTGGTGGCTTCTTATATAGAACATATACATCTTCCTTCCAAACATTTTGTTCAAACCAAATAAAATTATTATTATTATATATATTGGATAGGTCCTAGGCTCCCATGTCAAGAGAGTTATCGATTCTCGACCACACATCCAAGATACAACCGCAACTACATGACAAGAATTTGGATGATGCTCATCTAAATCAAATGGAACATTCCCATAGGTTGAGTAGTACTTAGACTTGTCAGACTGTTTTTTCATGATCAAGTTTAATAGAAAGTAATGTTAAACCGTTATACAACAATAAAATATCTTGAATGCTTTATCCATTAATTAATGATAACATTTTCTACTTATATATATATATATATATATTTCACCTTTAGAAGATACGCTCACTCTAAAGATTAGACCTATACATTTTAAATGCTTACTAACTTTGACATTGGAATCATTTTTGCATGTACAATTACCATTTGCGAGTATAAGGATTGAGAACAAATAACATAAGATTGAGGAGGCGATGATCGAAGACTTTTGAGAAATACTTTTTCTCAACAAGTACAATTATGATATTTAACACATTTTTCATGAGTTTGATCTAACTCAAAATCATTAGTTGAACTAAGACAACATGTGTTCATGGTTCACATTTCCAATGTCTTTAAATTTAAGAAAATAAAATATGTTGATGCTTATTTTTCTACTCATATTTCATAATTTTTTGATTTTTTCACCTAATTTTTTGAATTGTATATTTTATCACTCAATTTTAAAAATTTGTACATTTTATCATCTAATAGTTGACTTAGTTAATCATTGACATAACACACCAATTGTTAATGTATTTAACTATTGACATGACAAAATATATTATGTTATCGTCTTATATTACATAGACAATTTAACTATTAATGTAACATGCTAGTGGTTAACTTTTCACGACAACAATCATTGTATCATATTATCGATCAATTAATGGCTTCATGTGATTAATTAATGGAATGACAACATATGTAGAATTTTGAAAATCAAGTAACAAAATACACTGTTTTATAAATTAGAAAACAAAATTTGTGAAATTATAAAGCTAAAAACACAATTAAGTCGATATATTAAAAATACTAAATTATGTTTTTAGTATCTCTATTTATTTTTAGGATTAAATTTAATCTCATTATTTTTAAGAAATTTAATTTGGTCATTTGATTTTCAAAAAAATGTTTAATGTTATCCTTCCATCTAAATTGACACTAACTATGTTGATGAAATTATATTAAAGAACAATATTGAATAATTTTGAAAATGAGGAACAAATTGAACATTTTAAAAATAGTAGAACTAAATTAAATATTTTAAAAATAATAGAAAAAATTAAATAAAATTTTATATAACAGTTTTTTGTTTAGATAAATTTAATTTTTTTTTACTTATCTTATCAAGATCATGAATGAAAACTAATTAAATGCCTAGAGCTAAAAAAGAGTACCACAAAATGAAAGAATTATCTAATAAAAAATATTAAATAAGTAAAGAGAAATCAAATTTGTCCATATAAACAAATATTATATAACTTTTTTTTAATTTAATTTATCTATTTATAGAATGTTGAATTTGATCTCATTATCTTTAAATTATTTAATTTAATTTTCTAATTTTTAAATCCCGTTAAATGTTGTCTTTTTATTAAATTTGATTATAATGTCGTTAATATCAATTTGGAAAAAATATATTTAAAATAATAATTAAATTAAACAATTTAAAAATGATAAAATCAAATTTAATCTTAAAAATAAATAAATTTACCGTTAAACTAGTGCATTTTGGTGTCTCTTTTGCATGGCTATAGTTTTTTTTTTCTTTGCTGCTTTTGTTTCCTTTACTCTTGAGAAAAGAAAGCCTAAACAATTTCCTGCCAAATCCTGCGTAGACCATTTGGTAAACGCTAATATATTCTAATTTTTATTTTAAATTTGGCTTCTTCTTCTTTTTTTTTTTTTTTTTTTTTTTTTCAAGTAACTTTTTCAACTTGCACTATTTTAATGTATACTTTTAGGAAAAGTTCACCCACTTGCTTCCATATCTAAAAAATTAAAAAAGTATATGTGATTTGTCCATATTCATTTTGTCTGAAAGAATCTTGTTTTTCTTTTTCCTGTAAAAAAGAACTTGTTTTTTCAACACAAAATGATATGTTAATCACCCCTATTGACCTCATGATTGTAAGGTCTATCTTACAACATACAAAGTCAACATGATACTTTGAGATTCAATTTTTTTCTATATTAAAATAATATTTGATTAATAAAAATTACATTCAATGAATATAAATTAGTTTTTAATTGACATTATGTAAATCATACCAATAGATAATGAAAAAAAAAAAGAAACAATAAGATGTTGAATTTTAAATCCCTCGTCTAAAATTAAAACGTAATTTATAATTTTCACCGACTAAAAAAGATAAATTAAACAAAAACTATTTTTTTTTAAAGTTTAATTACGCTAAACATGAAGATCAATTAATTGATGCAAAATTATTTCAAACATAATTAATATTCTTAAGTTTAAATATTGTGGATGTAACTACATTAACTACTTGATTAAAGAGTTATGCTACTCATATATACTCAGATGGCTCAAGTTTTCTTCCAAGAAACATACATGTAGTCTGATGAAAATTAAATAACAGTTAGTTGGAACCTACCGAGAGAATAGACTTGGAATATTCATGAATGAGTTATGATGAAAATATAAGATTATTTTTGTGTCACCTTGTGCTTGAGGCTCTGTGTCTGTATACAATATGAGATGTTTCTACATGATGTGCATGATATGATATGTTTATGTGTAGCATGAGAAATTTATATGTGATAGGAGATGATTACACATAATGTGATATGAGATGATTATGTGTAATGTGATGAGATGTTGATGTTTGACTTGAGCACGTCTTAACAACGTTTGAAACATCGATGAATGATGAGATGTGAGATGGTGATAATGTGTGACATGAGAATGAAATAATGATGATGTGTATGCATGGAATTTACATTAAGATGATATGTTAAGCGAATACGATGAGTATGAGTTGAATGCATGAGATACACATAGAGTTTTGTATACAAAGCATGCATGATGAGAGTTTTTGTGTTATAATTGTTAATTTAGAGAGGTGTGTAAAGTAGAGTATGATGAGGAATGTGAATGGATTGATGTTACAACATGTGTAATGGGATGAGATGATTGATTGAAAATTTATATGGTATGAAATATGTGTAACGATTGAGTATGAGATATGAATAAAGAGTAAGAGATATGTATAACAATGAGATATGATATGTGTGTTATGAATATGAGACGTGCCATGAGTATGAGATGTGTCACAAACATGAGTATTTGCCCTCAAGCCATGAGTATTTGCCTCCAAACCATGAGTATTTGTTTTCGAGCGACAAGGATACGTAATTTGAGTCATGAATAGAGTTTTTGGGATCTTGAATTACGAAGTAGTTATGTTCATATATAGTTTTAGAGGTGGAATTCAATGGGTTGAGAATGTACAGTATGAGTGTGTTAATGTAAGTGGATTGATGTTGAGGTTGTGAGATTATTATTGTTTGAAGCATAACTTTTATATGACTTATGAAATATTACTTTATCTTATATATTTGTGTATAAATATATTAGAATGAGATGTTTTTCACTCCTTTTTTCTCGTTGTCCTATTTTTGAGCGTTTTGTAGGTGATGATCATCATAATGATGATATGAGAGCCTAGTGAGATGTCACATTGTGCTATGATACGTAACACCAAGGGACTTAGATTAAGAATTCTATTATTCTAAGTTTTAGAGTTAATGTTAAGCACTTTCATTTATTTTATGTCGTACTGAAGGACTGGAGTGTATTTATTTGATTTTAATAGCAACTTATGGGTTCTTTTAAGTCATTTTAGAACTACTGTGATTAATTAAACTTGAATTATTGATATTACTATGCAAAATAGGGAGTACTACGTACACATTCATTATTACAATCTTACTTTACTTTTATTAACATATATATTAGTAGAAAAAAGACACTTCACAACTATGTTAAAAGAACCTATTTAAAAGAAGAAGAGAATAGTAGATAATTTTGATAGAATGAATAGTTATATTAAAGAATGTGAAAGTAAATAAAAAAATGTATAAAGATAAAAATATCTTTAAAATATGTATCACCTTTATACATTGTTATTATAAGTCACTCAACAAAATTTGTTATTAACGACAATTATTTAATGACAATAATTTAATTGCCGCCATATGTAAAAATATCAATGGCTAATATATAATAGTCACTAAATATGTGTATTTATATTACACTAAAGTTTACTATTAGCGACAATTATTTATTAGAAAAAACTTAAGTTCACATCGATTAGAAATAAAATAATTAAATAGTATATAAGTGAGTTTATAGGGTTCACTCCTAATTCACTATTCTAAATTGATATCAAATCACTATTATTACCAAATTCAATAGTGTTATAAAACAATTAGAGAGCAACTTTTACTTTATAAATCTTATATTTCTTGAGAGACAAGAAAATTAAAAAATATATAAATAAAAGACAACCCTCATCTTACAAATCCCACATCGAGTAGATATAAAAAAAAGTATATAAGTTATGAATTTAGAAAAGGAAATTATAGGAATAAATTATTTAAAGTAAAGGAGACAATTGAAAAAAAAAAACTTTTAATAGCCTTTAAAATGGCTATTAGAATTGTCACTAAAAAAAATAAGTTTTTCCGACAATTTAGTATATCTTTACCAACATTTTATATAAATGCCGGTAATAGTATTAATGACACTGGATACACCCGCCTTTATTTAAATACTGGTAGAAAAAAATAATAGTCATTTATATGACCGCTAAATAATAAATTAATTGCCACAAAAAATTAATTTTGATGTAGCGAGTGATTATAAAGTTGAGAAAAAAAAAGTTAACGAGAAAAAAAAATGAACATTGAAAACCTAAACAATTTCC